GGGAGTGGGGGGGGGTGCCAAGCACACAGGATCCGCCCCGGGTGCCAAATGCTCTAGGTACGCCCCTGGTTCCATGGAAGGTAACTGTTCATCGGTGTTCGTGCCTTCGCGTGTCTGATTTGAGTTCCATGAACTCGACGACAAAACACAGCTGAACACATTCAACTAAACAAGATGGCCACAACCACATGTTCGACTATATGAACGGCGACCACCCAGATGCTCGCCAATTTGGCTGCGGTTAACTACCAGCCTAGGAGGTAAATAGGCTGCACACTCCACTTGCATGTGGTCCGGCTGTTCGGTGGTTCGAAGTGGCACTTCGAAAGTTCGAAGAATTATTGTCCAAAGTCCTAATGGGTACAAATAGGGTTTTTTAACCATAATAAATTAAAGGGGCCATAGTCACAGGGTAAAAGGCTGGCAAGTAGTCCCCTCCAAACCCCAGTGGTGAAGTGGCTTTCGCCACACGCCGAATGTGACATCATGCGGAAGCCGGGTGTACACAATGGACAACAATTATATGGTTATATACTCCAGACGAATGGAGGCTCTGATTAGCATTGGGTAAGACCCCAGGAGGAGTCGAAACGCGTCTGCTGACCTTCTCTTGAGACTATTATATATTCCTTTTTGCTGTAATTTTTATGTCATTTGTTCACTGCTTTTTTGTCTCGTTATTGTTATTATTTTTATTGATTTTCAACCACAATAAAGTCTTTTACACCTAATTTGGAGCCTCCATCTCCAGTATCTATACTACAGAGGGAAGAAATACACATCTTTAGAATATATAGGCACCTTGGAGCGCATTATATAGTGCCTGACACGGCTCTATACTGTGAGTTATATTCCACGATTGATTCTGTGTTTCCTCCCAGTATATACAAAAATAACTATGTGTTATTGTTTTTTTATGTTTTAGATTTCTGCTTGATTGAAATACAGGGATAGGTATTATATTTTATGTTTTTATGCTTAAATAGATCTACAATTACAGGGAAGTAAGTAGGCTATGAAAAAAAGGGTTTAGACAATAAGCCCAAAGTGGAAATAAGGTAAACCTATAAATGAAGTTTTAGGTAGGAAATTGAAGATAAACCTATAAGAGAAATTATAGGTACAATTTTGAGGAAAAACAGAAAACAGGATTTAGGCAACTATGCCCCAGAACAGGATATAAAGAAACAGGGAAACCTATAAGAGAGAAAGATGTCTTCTTTTTTCTAAAATCTTCATTTTTCAGCCCCAAAAAAGGCCAAATAAAAACCATAATACCCGTCGAACAGTTAACGTAAAAAATAAAATAAAAAACGCAAGTGCAAACAAAAATCAGACGATAAAGAAAAAACCTGACGCTAAAATTTTTTATCCATCTTCACCCGGCGACGGCACAGCGCAGACTGAGCTCCGCAGGGCGGGGAAAGGCTTATAAAGCCGTCCCACGCTCTGCAATTTGACTCAGAACACTCTAATTGGTTGGCTTGGAATTCAACCAATCAGAGTGCTAGTCATTTTACACAGCGTGGGAAAATTCTTTGGCATTTTCCAACGCTGTGTAAAATTACACAGAGCACTCCGATTGGTTAGATTTCAAGGTTGGATATCCATTATAGGTTATACAGAATGTTCAAATGAATATAAAATCATATATATATAAGACTGTAGATACATAAAGCATAAAACTGAGAAAGTATGTACAGTTAATTATAGTTGTTTTTTTATAAAAATGTGTATGACTAAGAGTTAAACTGTAAATGTTTATGTATAGGAATAAACCATATAAAGGGGCTAAAAAAAAGGGTATTGTATAGGAAGGAATAGGATACATTCTTAAAAAGTTAAAAAAGGTCAAAAAAACCCAATTCATTTCTTTTTGGCCTAACACTTTTTTTTTTTTTTTTACTATGACAAAATCCATTTTATTTATCTTATAAAATTTTGAAATACCAAAACACATCCTCTACAAGTAGACTATTAAACATGGCAATGTCGCTTGCTCCCTCTAGGCCTGGGGACTCCACTTAATGCCTTCCTCATGATGAGATTGTGACAGTCTTACAAAACGTTTCCAGGAGATGAAAAATACAATGTGCAGTATAGACAGCAGGCAGCCAAAAGGAGTTTGATGATTTGTAGGTGGAACCATGGGAGGGGAACTCTAGTATACTTTATATAGACATTTACAGTAACAGCTAGGGTAGTTTTATTTTAACTACTACATTTGACCAACAATGCCATTAAGAAAGCATACCTTCACTCTGCTAGATGGTAAGGTTACATTTTAAGTGACTTTTTTTATTCAGGTTTCCACTCATTACAAAACTGCAAAAATTCTTCTCAAGTCCAAAAAACAGAATGTGTTTATCAGATATGACAGGAAAAGTTACAGTTACATATTCTGTTTCCAGTTTGGTTACATAGGTGTGCGTGTAGGCCTTAATGACCTGGAACAATTCCATAAATACAAAGAGAAGGGAAGTTTTAGAGAGATAAAGGCATGCAGAGTTCTACCAAGAGAAGAGATGCATAGGCTTGGCAAAGCAAGATCGTTTTTTTTATTTTGGCCTGGACAGCTTTCTTTTTTAGTCATCTTTGTCTTTAGCGCCATGTTTTAGGATACATGTAAACTCAATGTAGTTGAAATTTCCCTTCTTGTCGATTGGCGCCTCTCTGAAAAGCTCATCCACTTCCTCATCTGTGAATCGGTCACCCATAGTAGTCAGCAGCTCTCTGAGGTTCTCCTCTTGAATGAAGCCTGTTCCTTCTTCATCAAAACATGCAAATGCATTCCTGATGACATCTTCAGGGTCTGTACCATTCAGCTTCTCACCTTTACATGGTAAAGTTAATAGGTCCAGGAGCTTCATTCATCATAGCCTCTAGGTACTCGTCTGTAGGGTTCTTACCAAGAGAAGCAAGCATGTCGTGCAGATCTTCTTTATCAATAAAGCCGTCACGGTTCTGATCAATCATGTTGAAAGCCTCCTTAAACTCCTGAATTTGGGATTGATCAAACATGGCAAACACATTGGATGTTGCATGCTGAGGGCGCTTCTTTGTGGTCTTTGTCTTTGCTCTTTTACTTGACATTTTGGCGGTTTGTTAGTCTTCGCTCACAGTAAGAAGAAGAAGGAGGCTCGGTGACGGCTGCTTTGCTTCTGGCTCTCACACAGACGTTGGCCTAACACTTTTTTAAGATCTCCACCTCTCCAAGGGATTTTACATTTCTGAATTCCTATACATTTTAGATTATTTGGATTTTTACCATGGATTAGAAAATGTTTCGATACAGATGCTTGCTGAGTCCAGTATATCACATTGATTTTATCGTTTTTAGTTTATCTACTTCCTGTTAATATGTCCTTTGACCTTTGAAACATGTCATATGACCTAATTTAGGGTCAAAGGTCAAACAAGACACCATTTTTAATTTGCTGATTGTTGGGACCCTATATAAACCCACAGGTGCCAGGCTAATACTATGTACACTTGAAGAAACCCCTTGTGGCGAAACGCGTTGTGGACTTTTAATTTGTTTTACTACTGTTAATAATGGTATTTTGGCTGCTTTTACATTGAGTGTGCCATTTTACTCTTTTTACTCCGTTTTTATTCTTTTATTATTTTATTGCCTGGTATCCTGACTCTACTCCCAGTAAGAACTACTCAAGAAATCCTATTCCAGTTTGTCTGCTCTGGTAAATGAAAGTAATATTCTCTTATTTATTCTTCTGGTTGATTTTATACAGTGAGCACCATTGTTGTTTCTTTTTATTTATTAGTCCACACATCACTGAAACCATTCTTCACATATCCTACAAGTATCCTATAAGTGAGGATTGTACCACTGTACGCCTTTCATACTAGAGCTGGTTTAAAGCTCTAAAAAAACGTAAGTAGGACCATATATACTTTTATTCTTATTTTCTGAACATACTGCACCATTATTCTCTCCTTCTTTCCACATACAGACCGCATCTGATATACCAACATGAAAATTTTCCTTGAACAAGTTCGTTATTGCTCCTCCAGAAAGTATATACCATCATCTATTGGATTCTCTATCTTGGATATATATTTTTTATTATTCTATTTATAATAGGTAACACACTACGCTGTGAATGACTGAAATCCTGCAGTCCCCCAAGGCCCCCCTGTGGAGGGAGCTGAAGGTTTGAGTTGCCAAACGTCAGCTTTGAAATCTTAAAGACTTGGTGAGGATCTGCAAAGACAAGTGGGATTGTAGTCGCTGTTACTGAGACATAGTACAATGAGAAAAATGACTGGGACATAGCAATACCAGGGTACTCTTTATATAGGAAAGATAGGGACGGCAAGAAAGGGGGAGGGGTGGCCTTGTATGTGAAGGATAGCATAAAATCTAGCCTAATAAAAGTTAGTGAGGCAAACATAGAGTCCGTTTGGGCTACGTTAGAATTTGGTAATCACACAGTAACTCGTGTAGGTGTGATTTATAGGCCCCCAGGACAAATTGAAGAGTTAGATAATCTACTAGTTGAGGAAATAGCTAAAATGACAATGAAGGGGGAAGTTATCATCATGGGTGACTTTAATCTTCCTGATGTAAATTGGAAAACAAAATTAGCTACTTGTGCCAGGAGCACACATATTCTAAACTCCCTACTGGGATTGTCTCTAAAACAAGTTGTTGAGGAGCCAACTCGTAAAGAGGCCATATTAGATTTAGTGTTAACAAATGGAGATTTGGTATCAGATATTACTGTAGGTGAAAGTTTAGGATCCAGTGATCATCAGTCAGTGTGGTTTAATATAAGAACAGTGACTGAGTCACACCACACAAAAACAAAAGTTTTAGACTTTAGAAAAACAGACTTTTCTAAAATTAGAATATGGGTAGAGGAGTCATTATCAGACTGGAGCAATTTAAATGGAGTCCAAGAGAAATGGGATTATTTAAAAGTTGCACTATTGAAGGCAACAGAAAATTGCATTAGGCTTGTCAGTAAAAGCAAAAAATTCAAGAAACCACTGTGGTACTCTGCAGATGTGGCCAAAATAGTTAAAAACAAAAAGTTAGCATTTAGGAATTATAAAAAAACCCAGAGTGAGGGAGACAAAATGATCTATAAGATTAGGCAGAAAGAGGCTAAGCAAGTTATAAGAGCTTCCAAATCACACACAGAAGAGAAAATAGCACAGTCAGTAAAAAAGGGGGATAAAACATTTTTTAGATACATAAATGAGAAAAGAAAAGTAAAACAAGGATTAGTTAGATTAAAAACAAAAGAAGGAAGGTATGTAGAAGAGGATAAAGGTCTAGCTGACTGCCTCAATGAATATTTTTGTTCTGTATTTACAGATGAAAATGAAGGAAAGGGACCTCAGTTGAGAAAAAGGATAAATGAGTCATTTATTACACGTGAGTTTACTGAGGAAGAGGTTCTATTTCAGCTGTCAAAAGTAAAGACAAATAAGTCAATGGGACCTGATGGAATACACCCAAAGCTATTAAAAGAGCTTAGTGGTGTACTAGCAAAACCATTAACAGATTTATTTAACCAATCATTGTTAACAGGAGTAGTCCCAGAAGATTGGAAGTTAGCGAATGTTGTGCCCATTTACAAGAAAGGTAATAGGGAGGAGTCGGGCAACTATAGGCCAGTAAGCCTTACTTCAGTAGTGGGGAAAGTGATGGAAACCATGTTAAAGGATAGGATTGATGAACATCTAAAAACACATGGATTTCAAGATCAGAGACAACATGGGTTTACTTCAGGGAGATCATGCCAAACTAATCTTATTGATTTTTTTGATTGGGTAACTAAAATTATAGATCAGGGTGGTGCAGTAGACATTGCTTACCTAGATTTCAGTAAGGCTTTTGACACTGTTGCACATAGAAGGCTTATCAATAAACTGCAATCTTTAAGTTTGGATTCCAATATTGTTGAATGGGTAAGTCAGTGGCTGAGTGACAGGCAACAGAGGGTTGTAGTTAATGGAATATATTCGAAGCTTGGACTTGTCACCAGTGGGGTACCTCAGGGATCTGTACTTGGACCCATTCTCTTTAATATTTTTATTAGTGATATTGCAGAAGGTCTTGATGGTAAGGTATGTCTTTTTGCTGATGATACTAAGATATGTAACAGGGTTGATGTTCCAGGAGGGATAAGCCAAATGACAAATGATTTAGGTAAACTAGAAAAATGGTCATAATTGTGGCAACTGACATTTAATGTGGATAAGTGCAAGATAATGCATCTTGGACGTAAAAACCCAAGGGCAGAGTACAGAATATTTGATAGAGTCCTAACCTCAACATATGAGGAAAGGGATTTAGGGGTGATTATTTCTGATGACTTAAAGGTAGGCAGACAATGTAATAGAGCAGCATGAAATGCTAGCAGAATGCTTGGTTGTATAGGGAGAGGTATTAGCAGTAGAAAGAGGGAAGTGCTCATGCCATTGTACAGAATACTTGGAGTATTGTACACAGTACTGGAGACCGTATCTTCAGAAGGATATTGATACCTTAGAGAGGGTTCAGAGAAGGGCTACTAAACTGGTTCATGGATTGCGGGATAAAACTTACCAGGAAAGGTTAAAGGATCTTAACATGTATAGCTTGGAGGAAAGACGAGACAGGGGGGATCTGATAGAAACATTTAAATATATAAAGGGAATCAACACAGTAAAGGAGGAGACTATATTTAAAAGAAGAAAAACTACCACAACAAGAGGACATAGTCTTAAATTAGAGGGACAAAGGTTTAAAAATAATATCAGGAAGTATTACTTTACTGAGAGGGTAGTGGATGCATGGAATAGCCTTCCAGCTGAAGTGGTAGAGGTTAACACAGTAAAGGAGTTTAAGCATGCGTGGGATAGGCATAAGGCTATCCTAACTATAAGATAAGGCCAGGGACTAATGAAAGTATTTAGAAAATTGGGCAGACTAGATGGGCCGAATGGTTCTTATCTGTTGTCACATTCTATGTTTCTAAGTTCAGTATTCCTCTAATTTGTTTTTTGATGTTGACCAAAAAAAAATGGCAAAACAAAACCCAGTTCAAACATAATTTTGCAACAAACTAGGAAAAAAATTCCCTCTTGACCCAAGAATGGCAGTCCTATTTATCCTTGGATCAAGAAGCTATTACCCTACAGGTGAAAAATTATATAATTGAATATAATGTTTTTGCAAGTATGCATCTAGTTGCTGTTTAGACATTTGTACAGACTCTGATAAATAAGATGTTAATTCTACCCAGCCAAAGGAGTCTGAGACTTCCATTTGTTCATTTCGCCTTTGCATAATCCTTGTATAGAGACAAGAGTAAATTTCCTGATACCTGAGAGATGGGTGATTTTAACTCCCAGATAAGTAAGAGATGCTGTTCTCCAGTCAAAGGAGTGAGAGATTTGGTTAGTTCCGAGGGTAAGCTGATTGCAGTGGCGTACACACAATTAATGGGGGCCAGGTGCGATACTGATCACCCTCCTGTTTCTTACCTTTTAGGTGCAGGAGGGTGACTCCGTGGTCTTCTTCCCGCGTGGCTCTCAGTGTTAGCTGGGAGGAAGTGACGTGCAGTCACTTCCTCCCAGCAGTGATGTCATCACAGGGGACCCGGTCGCGCTGTTAAAGCGCCCAGCGCTGACCGGGCCCCGTTACAATCCATATCAATTGGGTGGCCCTGACAGCATGGGCCACATGATGGACCCCTTGGATGGTGGCCCCGGCAGTTACCGCGTGGGCCTGGGCCGCAAAAGATAATGGCGGGTATCTGGTCGCAGGGGTCCGCAGGGCGGCCGGGCCCCCTGTAGTGACGGGCCCGGTCGCAGCTGCGACCCCTGCGACCGCGGTATATACGCCAGTGGCTGATTGGGAGAGCTTATGTCTTGTCTTGATTTAAGCAGTAAAGGTTTTTAAAAGAGATAACACAGGGGAAAGAAAGTGCATAGGGTCAGAGAGTGCTATAAAATTTTGCCAGCAAAGAGTGCCAAATAATAGTCGATAATATCCGTAGAGTAGTAGATTTGATTGATTTAACCAATAGAAGAACTGAACAGACTATCCTACTTTCACTTGATGCGAATAAAGCCTT